ATGTATTCATTTTTTAATCTGAAATTCAAATTTAACTAGATGCTGTACATTTTAGCTGACGATGTGTGTGGCATGAATGAATAACTCCTTGGAGAGAAACAGTCACCCTGAAATGAACACTTCTCCAGGGGCAGGCATTTGGCCTTGTGGTTAAGATGCCCTCGTCCCATCCCAGAATGCCTGTGTTCAATTCCTTGATCTGGCTCCCAGCTCCAGCTTCCTGGTAACACACACCCTGGGAGGCAGCAGTGATGGCTCAAGTGACTGGGCTCCTGTAATACACATAGAGACCTAGATGGAGTTTCTGGCTTCTGGCTTTGGCCTCTGGTCTGGTTTGGGGCCATTGCAGGCATTTGGGGAGTGAATCAGTGGGTGGGAGCTCTTTGTCTAATCTCTCTCTCTCTTTCTCCTCTCTCTCTCTGTGTCACTCTTGCTGTCTCCTTGCCTCAAATTTTAATTTTTAAAAGATTTATGTATTTGTTTGAAAGGCAGAGTAGCTACAGAGAGAGAAAGAGATCTCCTAACCACTGGTTCACTCCCCAAATGACTGCAATAGCCAAGGCTGGGTCAGGCCGAAGCCAGGAGCCAGGAACTTCTTCAGGGTCTCCCACATGGGTGCAGGGGTCCAAGCACTTGGGTCATCTTCTGCTGCTTTCCCAGGTGCATCAGCAGGGAGCTGGATCAGAAGTGGAGCAGCCGGACTCAAGCCGTCTGCCTCAAATTTTAAAAATAAAAAAATAAAGTACACACAGAACTGAGAACTTTTGACAGATGAGTTTATTTGGGGACCAAAAAGAGAAAACTTTTCCAAATTGATGATTTTTGAGCTTTCTACCACATTCCCTAGCAAGAGATAGATTGTGAATCAAAATCCAATGGGAAAATGCATGTGTATTCACTGAGTAAATGCTCTGTGGGACCTTTTCTGTATGTACTGCACTCCAACATTTTCTGTCTTCCTCCTCCTACTTATTCATTTTCTTAAATAAAAAAAAAATCCTGGCACAGCCTCCCTTAACTGATTTCATGACCCCGTTAATGCAGTGGGCAACAACCTAGGGCCAAATCGAACCAGGCACCTGGATGACTTACAAGCTAAGAATGACTTTTACTTTTTAAATTGTCGGGAAAGGGACTGGTGTCCAGTCTAGCAGCTGAGGCTCCAGGTAAGATGCCCACCTCTCACATCCGAGTGCCTGGGTTTGATGCTGGCTCCAGCTTCCTGCCAATGCAGACCTTGGGAGGCAATGATGATCGCTCAAGTGGTTGCGTTCCTTCCACACACGAGGGAGCCCTCAATTGCATTCCCAGAACCTGGCTTCAACCTGACCCAACCCTAGCTGTTGCAGACATTTAGGGAATGAATCAGTGAACAGGAGATCTGTCTCCCTCTCTCTGTCTCCTTCCCCCTCTACCTCTTCAATAAATAAATACAACTTTAAGTGGAAAAAAAAAACCACAAAAGAGAATATTTCATAAGATGAAAACTTGAAAATCAAATTTGAGCATGGACGAATAAAGTTTTATTGGATTACAGCCACGCTCATTTGTCTAGCCATGGTCTATGATCACTTTCCACGGTGATGGCAGAATCAAGCAGCTGCAGTCTGGGAGTTGTGTGCACAACCCACACGCCTAAAACATTTTACCATTTGTCTCTTTACTGAAAAAGTTTGCCCAGCCCCAAACCAGTGGGGTACAAGTTGTATTCTGAAAAGCTCTGTTCTAAACAGTTTTGCTCCTAAAAGTGTCTGTTTCTATTCATGGTTGTGAGCAGTTTTTTTTTTCTAAGAATCTCAAGCTAACCTCATTCTTCTCAGTTCCTCTAAAGATACAGCCGGATGAACGGACACTGGGCCAGGAAACATTTGAAACCATCTTCCTTTGAGTCTGTGTTTGGTGCAGGCATGGTCCCGACTCAGCAAGAGTTAAACGGCAGTGATGGCGAGGACTCTCACTCCCACTTGCTGGAGGCATTCTCTACTTCCAGTGAAGGATTATAAAGAACACAAAACACAAGGCCAATTTCTTGCCATGGAGCTACTTAGACTCTTGACTCTTACTGCAGAGATGAGAGGCCCCAGAGCTAAGGCTGGTGACGGAAAAGTGTGTTCAAATCTAAAGGCTGCGCCCACATGAGCATGGCATGGAGTTCACACTGCAAACAAGAGAATGCAAAGAGCAGAAGGGAGGTTGCTCTGGCCAGGGAAAGAGGAGACGGGGAGAAGTTCTTGAAGCTGACGAATCCATGAAGGATCCCGTACCTTGTGACTTTCTGGGATGGAATAGTGGGTGATAAATCCGCAGGACAGGTTTGGGAGTGCTAAGACCTGAAAGAACTCGTGCCTTGTTTCCTGGAAGATATCCAGAATGAGGAGGAACCTCATAGATATAGATCGTGGTCATCAGGCTATGACCCAAGGGCCAGATTCAGTGTGTTACCAGCTTTTACAAATAAGTTTTATTAGAACAGAGACATGCCCACTTGTTTACCTACTGTTGAGCTGCCCTTGTGCTGCAATGGCAGGAAGGAGTACTTGTCTAAAACATTTATTATCCAATTCTTTGTGGGACACCACTTGCTGACCCTGCTCTGGAAGACTGGCCAGAGTGGAAGACACAGCAGAGCAAAGCTGGCAAAGGGGCCCTGAGGAAGTCCCTGATCCGCCCACAGCCAGAGACCCGTAGGAGAGCGCCTGAAACTTTCCCTTGCTGCACCCCTCAAAGTGGGTGCAGAATGGCTCAATGGGACTAGCAGATCTGAGTAGAGCTAAAAGTTGGGGGCAGAGGGTGAGGGAGAGGAGGGAGATGTATTTGAGAGAGAGGCTAACAACTGAGACTTAGGCACCATGCCAACCATGGCCATTGGGTACCAATGTGAGTAGATGCCAATGGCCATAGACCAAAGCACCCGTATTCCTCTCTCATCTCCTCCAGAAGTCCATTCCCTACACGCAAACAATCCTAAGCTTCCAGGATCTTAGCTGTGACCCCAAGAGAAAAGGAAAGGCGTAAAATTTTAAATCAAGAGACTGAAACCTACAGGAACTGCATAAACACTGAAGTGAGTGATTTCTACCTGGAAGTCACTATGTATGAAGTTTCCTGCCACTGGAAGAATGTGGGCTAAACTAGAAATTAGTTTATAGAAAAATGAAGAAAGTTACGCATTCTGTGCCCTCGATAGAACAGGAAACTGACTTAGCTACTACAGGAAATTGGAACTTCATTCATGGCAATGTCAGAGACGGCGTGGCTCATGACTCAATGACTCCGTACCTACTTATTTTGCTACCTACTTCTTCCCAGAATAAGACAGTTTAAAGGGCTCCAAATCTCCCAGTGGTGTTTCCCATTCTACCTTCAACTAGGGGAATCCTGGCAAGTCCAAATTGTCACCAGTAGGTGGTGCTAGCACGGCCAGGGCTAGAACTCATTATCTGATGATGAATTAGCCGCACACTAATTAAAGCTCTTTCCTCTTCAACACCTTTCCCCGAAGGTCTAATGGGATGTTGTTGTTAAGTAGGTGAGTAGTTCATCTGTGGGCTCACTCTCCCTCCCTGGAGTGGTAGCATGGAAAGAATTCCAGGGTTAGGAAACTGAGGATATGGATTTCGGCCGTCTTACTAATTAGATGAATTGGCCAAGTCACTTAATCTCGCTGAGCCTTGGGATCCACACTTTTAAAAGAAATAAGTTGGACTTGGTGAATCTTTGCTTTCCAAGTTTGAAAAACAGTTGTACAACCAGTATGAGATAGCGCTTTTCATCCATCAAATTAATAAATTTTAAGAAAAACTCAGAATTCCAAGAAACAGGCTCTTTGACACACCGCTGTGGGAGACATAAGCTGGAACAGATTTTCCATAGGGCAATTTGGCAATGTGTAGCCACAATTCTAAAAATTTATTTATCCCTTGACTGCCAATTCCACAACTGGGAATTAATCACAAAGAAATAAATCTAGAAATATGCAAATACATAGCTAAGAGGCTAGTCCATAAAACTCAGCACTTGGGTTCCCTTGCAAGGGGCTCTGTGTGTCTTTGTTCTCGAGTTTCTGATCCTTCATATAATCCATAGTACTCTATTACAATACTTGTATAATACAGCAAAGCAAATGACTATTTAATCATCTAGTGATAGAAAGTAGAAGAGCCTGGAATTTATTGAATATTTTTTGTGTGTACCATGCACCCTGATGGACAGTTTTCTTAAGTTAAAATATTTTCTTGGGCCGGTGCTGTGGCATAGTGCGTAAAGCTGCCAACTGCAGTGCCGGCATCCCATATGGGCATTGGTTCGAGTCCTGGCTACCCCACTTCCAATCCAGCTCTCTGCTACAGCCTGGGAAAGCAGTAGAAGATGGCCCAAGTCCTTTGGCCCCTGCACCCACGTGGGAGCCCCAGAGGAGGCTCCTGGTCCCCGGCTTCGGATCAGCACAGCTCTGGCCATTGAGGCTAACTGGGGAGTGAACCAGTGGATGGAAAACCGCTCTCTCTCTCTCTCTCTCTCTCTCTGCCTCTCCTTCTCTCTCTCTGTAACTCTGCCTTTCAAATAAATAAATATATTATCACAATATCCCTGTGTGAAAGGTATTACTAATCCCATTTTCTAGACAGGGAGCATGACTCTCAGGCAGGTGAAATCTTCTAGCCCAAAGTCACCCAGTGCTGATTAAGGAAGAGGAAGTAGAACTTCTGCTCTGTGAAGGTCAAGGTCGCTGTGGGCATGGAGATAACTGGGTCTGTGATGGAACTGAAGGGTGGGGAATTCAGTGTGTGGATTCTGATTCGGCCTGAGAGTGGGATCTTTATGGAAGAACTGCAATTTCAAAGCTTCTGCCAATTCTTTGTGTTTCTAAAAATGGAAACCTAACTGGTCTACGGGGGCCAAGGCTTTCTGGTAGAGAGAAAAAAAAAAAAAGCACTGACTTGAGCTTTTATCTGTGCAAAAGGAAATTCCATTCTGCAATGGGAAGGGCTACACGAGGAAACCTTGAGTTCTGTGCCAAACAAGGTAAAAGGGGGCGGGGCTCGCACTGAGGCTAAGGGACTTGGGCTTCCTCTGGGGGATGGAGGGAAGAAGCTGCTGAGACTCAGCTCACGTGGGGGTGGGAAGAGATGCAGTAGAGCAAAAGCCCTTGCTGGGGATGAGCAGGAGCAGGGAGCCTACGTGGCAAGAGCTCCGGAGCCTGGAGGTCAAGGTCTTTCATGACCAGTTGGGTTGGTTGGGATATGGCCCAAGGGCTTAGGGTGCTTCCGTACTGAAAGTCCTTCAAGTTTTTAGTTGAGCCAGAAAACCTCCTGTTAGCATCGCCTTGGGGGTAAAGAAAGATACCTAGTCCTTTCTGAAGGCTCATGGTTTGCAAGTGGAGTTATTTTATTCGCATATTTCTAAGAAAGGGTGAGGTGGGAAAGTTGTGATAAACTCAAGGACACGAGTTCTATGTCATTATTACATTCCAGGGACTGAGACTTAAGCCAGTCTTCAGGACAGCTGAAGCCATGTGGCAGGATCCTTTGTAACAGGGGTTCACTTGTTTTGGGGACTGGCCAGTCACAAGCCTACTTGGCCACCGTCGGCAGGCAAGGTGATCAGTGCATTAGATCATGCTTATAATGGCCAAAGGACTTCTCTCTGGCTGACTACCCAGCCTGCCATGTTTATTGCATGATCAGTATCAAGAGACAGCAGCTCTGAAGCCCGCTGGCTCCCTGAGGGTACTCTAGCATGCCAGAGAGAACAGGTGGAGGGATTAGCAAACTCATTTCCAAGGTCACAACAGCGTGGTCCCTGGCGGCACCGCTGCAGGAAGATGGCAGAGCAGTGAGAGCCAGGCCACCGGCTCCTCTTTTTAGAACAAGAGCAGTTACCACTACAGAGTGCCCAGACTCTGCTCCGTGCACCTCATTACTCGCCTGTTCCTTGCTATCAACGTTAAGAGCATGTCATGCGCATTGTTAATGTTCAGTAGTTTCCTAGGGCTGCCAAGGCAAATGACCACAAGCTTTGTGCCTTAAAACAGCAGAAAATTATTCTCAAAAGTCTGGAATCGAGGTGTGGGCTGCGCTCTGTCCACAGGCTCCAGGAATAGTCCTTCCCCGCCTCTCCAGTTTCTGGTGGCTGTGGGGACTTCTGCCTGCTCTCACTCCCTCTGGGAGGCAGCAGGTGATGGCTACAGTCTCTGTCACTCAAGAGGGAGACCTGGATTGAGTTCCAGGCTTCTGGCTTCAGCTTGGTCCAGCCCTGGCTGTTATAGGCATTTGGAGAATGAACCAGCAGATGGGAGCTCTCTCTTGCTCTCTTTCTCTCTCTCTCTCTCTCTGCCTTTCAAATAAATAAATAAAAATTGTGACCTACATTGTAGCACAGCAGGTTCAGCCACTGCCTGCAATGCTGGCATTCCATGTGGACGCCAGTTCAAGTCCTGGCTGCTCCACTTCTGATCCAGTTCCCTATAACATCCTGGGAAAGCAGTGGAAGATGGCCCAAGTGCTTGGGCCCTGCCACTCACATGGGAGACCCAGATGAAGCTCCGGGGTCACAGCTCCAGCCTTGTCCAGCTTCAGCCTTTTTGGCCAATTGGGTAGTGAACCAGTGGATGGAAGACCTCTCTCTCTCTCTCTCTCTCTCTCTTTCTTTCTCAAACTCTGCCTTTCGAACAAGTAAAATAAATTGTTGGGTTTTTTTTACAATTAAAAAGCAAAAAGATGCTTATGACCTAGCTTCCAGAACCTGAGAACATGACCTTATTTGGAGAGAGGGTCCTCAGAGATTGGAATGTGCAGCCTCAAATCAAGAATGGCCTGGAGCCTCTGGGAGCTGGAAGAGGCCAGTCCTGTTCTCCCAGATGTCCAGAAGAACCGTGGTGGGCCCTACATCGTGGTTTGGACATCTGGTCTCCAGAATGGGGAGACAAGGAATTCCTATTGTTTTAAGCCTCTCCGTGTAACAGCCCTAGGAAACTAGTAAGAGGATACTGCAGAAATTTTGTGTGAAACATGAAATTGGGGGCTGGTGCTGAGGCACAGCGGGTTAAGCTACCGCCTGCAGAACTGGCATCCCACGTGGATCCCAGTTCAAGTCCTAGCTAACCCACTATTGATCCTGCTCCGTGCTAATGCGTCTGAGAAAGCAGCAGAGGATGGCCAAAGTGCTTGGGCCCCTGCATCCATGTGGGAGACCTGGAGGAAGCTTCTGGCCCCTGGCTTCAGCCTAGCTGCTGTGGTCATTTGAGGAGTAAACCAGTGGATGAAAGATCTCTCTCTCTGCTCTTCTCTCTCTCTCTCTGCCTTTCAAATCAACCAATCAATCTTTAAAAATTGTTGTTGCAAAAAATTTTGGGAATCTGAAGGGATCTTCAAAAAGTTCAAGAAAATGTGTATTATGAAAAAAATGCAGGAATTTTAGAAATTCTTTGCACCAATATGAGCTTATCTTTTAATTCCATTTCTCTCTGATTTTTTAAAAAGATTTATTTATTCATTTGAAAGGGTTACACAGAGAGAGAAGGACGGGCAGACAGAGAGAGAGAGAGGTCTTCCATCCACTGGTTTATTCCCCAATTGGCTGCAATGGCCGGAGCTGTGCCGATCCTAAGCCAGCAGCCAGGAGCTTCTTCGGGGTCCTCCACAGAGGTGCAGAGGCCCAAGGACTTGGGCCATCTTCTACTGCTTTCCCAGGCCATAGCAGAGAGCTGGATCGGAAGTGGAGCAGATGGGACTCGAACTGGTGCCCATATGGGATGCTGGCCCTGCAGGCTGCGGCTTTACCCATAGTGCTGTCTGCCTCCCTGAGTTTTTTGAAGTACTCTCTTCTACATGTGTCATCCCAGGGACCCAGCTGTGCCGGTCGCTGACTTCACAGGGGCACCAGGCTAGAAGGGAGAGTAGACTACACGCAGCAGTGAGCCTGGGTCTCTCACGCTGTGTGCCCTGCACGGGACTTGCTCTGGCCATGGTGGTGCCTTTTTATCATTTGCACAAAGCTGCCAGTGGCAGCCCTGATGCTGGAATGTTCAAAGTTCTATTGAAGCTGCGTGCTCCCTCTAGGAAGTCTCTCCTGTCCTGGTTTGGAGTCTTTGTCTCTTCCAGGAGGGGTTCATGTCCCGTGTAGGTCAGTTGTCTTTTTCTTCCACCTTTCTGTCTCCTGCCCTTAGATGCAAGACCGTTCTTTGTCTTCTTCCCCCAACCCCCTGCACCTAAAACAGAATAGACTCAGAAGAGACCAACTGAGTGAGTGAGCGAGGGGGCCTTGGTGAGCTGGAGGCGGGAGAAGGCATAATTAGCAGGGATTAGGGGAGGGGAAGGGATGCTGCTCCCAAAGGGACGGTGAATCAAGACAATTTCATGCTCTGCACGATTTTGCCTAAACCAGCCACCAAGCCGACCCGAAAAATGACTTAAATAGAGGGCATCCCCCGGAAATTAACGTTTTGCAGATGCCCTATCTGATCTTGCGTCTTTATCTTTCCCTTAATTGAGGCATCAGTGCCTAAGGATGTTTCTGTTTGTGCCAAACACGTGCTCCCCACGTCCAAGGGGACCCAACGCACTGCATTCCATGCTCACACACACATGAGCTCATGCGAGTCCCAGAGTGCTCATCTGGTCCAGATTTAAGGAAAACTATTTAGCTGGATGGAGAAAAACACATCGTGTATCAAGTTAATACCAAACAGATTTTATGACATACTGAAGCTGCTCTTGATAATCTATTAATACAGCAGAATTGCTAATGAACTAAAAAAGAGGCAGTTAATCATTACATCTTGGGGTCTGGGCCGTGTTTGTGTGGGTTGCAGGGATGACAGCGATACGATAGGATGCAGGGGAAGTCAGCCAAAAGCCCCCTCCCACCCAAAGAAGCAAGCCCATCTCTTGCAGCAAGAGGTTTGCTTTGCTAATTTATGAGTATAGACAATGTTTTTTCTGGCTTAACGTCAGGGTGGACTTTTCCAGAGATGATGAGGGTGGTGCCCTGGGCCATTCCCATCCCCCAATAGGCAGGGGTGGCCAGAGAAGCTACTGGGAGAGGAATCAACACGGGGAAGTCTCCCGTGGGGCTGTCCCAACCCAAAGGAGGATGCTCTGTCAGCGTGAGTAGCTGCCATCAACTGTCACTTGACCACAACAGCATTCCTGAGTGACTCCTAAGCCTTTGCGAAGTCTCTTGATAGATGTTTTCCATCAGACCCACATCTGTACTTGTCCTGGCATCGTCCGGGCTTACGAGAGGCGGCGCAACATGTTTGCGTTAGCATGACTTCTGGATTCCAGTTCAAGCACTTGGTGCTGTGAGCCTTGACAAAGCTGTTTAATTACTCCAGCCTCAGTTTCCTCGTTGGAAAATGAGGATGAACATGATGCACTAGCTAAGGATCTGGGGCTGCTAGGAGCACCCCGTTCTGGTGGGGATGAGAAAAGCCAGTTGTGGGGAAGGCTACTGGAGAATGAACCCAGTGAAGTGGAGAGTTAATGCACTGGGCATTAACGTCAGCTCCAGGCCATTCAGTGTCCTTGGGAGCAGGATGGGGCAGCTTCCCAGCGGTCAACTCCTAGAAAGAGAGAGAAGGTCGAGTGCCCCAGTTGGGATCATGTGTCTCCCCTGACCTCAGCGAGGAGCCAAAAAGCCGGGGCAAGGCACTCCTTAGAGACGTGGCTTGATGTCTACAACACTCACCTGCCTGGAGCCACGTGGTGAGGCTTGAGGGCATAGAAGAGCTTCCTATCGGCTTTTGCGGGATTTTCAGTTGGGGTCAGGGGTAGGGTTGCTGGATCATCCCCTGGTGGTGGGTCGGAGATAGCATCTGGAAATGGGTGAATTTCTGTAGGACTGACTCAACACCTGGGGAGGGGCAGACAGAAAGAGAGGGAAGGAGACAACTGTTGGCTGTCAGAGTACACAGACCCAGAGGGCTCAATGTCTCGCAACGCCCTCACTGAGAAGCAGTGAGGCTGTCCCTGGCTATGGAGCCCACGGAGTCCTGTGATGGGAAACAGCATTGTTGCTTGCCATGACTTCTGTTTGGATGCAGGTGGTTGTCTAGGGGTGTTTGTAGCTCATCGCACTGTATTTTTTACATACTCAAATCACGCTGTTGCCATTGCAGAAACAGACATTCGATAAAGTCCTGAGAAAAGAGTGGAGGGCATTTTTGGACTAAGCTCCCCCTTCCAGATGCTGCCTTCACACTGGGGCTCTCCCAGGCAGTGTCACAAACAGGCTCTGAGAACCGGGCTGTAAGGAGCCATCCCCCGACAGCTGCAGCAGCCCCGTTGGAGGGATCAAGGTGCAACCGTGATTAACTCCGTTTTGTTTTTAGACAGGAAACTAGAGGCAGAGCTGAGAAACAAAGTCACTATTTCTGGTGCTTGGCTGGTCCTGGCTCTGGGGGAGCCGCCCTTCCTCAGTGGAACACGGGTTTCCATGGCAAGGCACTCACATGCTTTCTCACCGCCACAGTTGCTTTGAGTGCTGCTTGGCAATGCAAGCATTTACCTTTGGGACTGCTCTGGGTATGTAAAGAATTCCCTCCTCTGTTGTGCGCAGGATGTGGGCAGATGAGGAAGCAGTAGCAACTGGTAGAGATTATGCCTCTATTTGGCGGGCGCTGGGAAAGAACCTCCACCGTGGGCCAAGGACGTGGTCGCCAGGGCAGAGACAGCAAATAGCAGTGGGTCCTTGGCTCTCCTTGACTTCTGCAACTGACCCCAGGTCAGAGGGGGCGGGGGATAGGGGATTCCCCCCATCAAAGGTTAAAGACAGCCTGTGACTTAAACAGAAAATTGTGGGAGTAGGTAAAGGGCTAGAAAACTGCCATATGAGGCAAAAAAGAGAAGAGAAGGAATTCAAGTCCATAAATATTCAGCTAGGTGCTGTCCTGGGTGAATCATTAGAATAAGAATAGCCCATGTTAAATACAATACACACACACACACACACACACACACACACGTGTATTCTTTGACACTTCATAAGAAACCAATATGACATTTATCTGTTAATATCAAGCCTGCATTAAGGATGCAGAAAATAACACGCCTCCATTAAGGATACACAGTGACTTCCTGGAATTATCCAGGTGGCAGGTGGTACAGCTGGGATGAGAATTCAGACAATTCACCTCCAGAGTGTGGGCTTTGTGTCACTGCACTGTCCTCCCTCAATTTTCATGGAGGATTGTTCCAGGCCCCCTTGGACACTTGAATCCCTTGTGTAAAATGGTGTAGCAGGGACTGGCATTGTGGTACAGCAGGCAAAGCTACCACTTGCGATGCTGGCATCCCATGACAGAACTCTGGTTCCAGTCCTGGCCTCTTCACTTCTGATTAAGCTCTTTGGAAAGCAATAGATGATAATCCAAGTAGTTGGGTCCCTGCCACCCATGTAGGAAGCACAGATGAAGCTCCAGGCCTCAGCCATTGTGACCAGTTGGGGAGTGAACCAGCGGTTGGAAGCTCTCTCCCTCTCTCTGTTACTCTGCCTTTCCAATGAAATAAATCTTTACAAAAATAAAATAAAATAGTATAGCGTTTGCACATAACCCCATATAAATGCTATGTTAGAGTTGCTATATTTGTGTTGTTTAGGGAACAATGCCAAGACAAAAATCTGTATATATTCAATACAAGCATGCTTTTCTTCTAAACTCTCAAAAATATACATTTATTTATTTGAGAAACAGGAAGAGAGGGAGGGAGGGAGAGAGAGAGAGAGAGAGAGAGAGAGCACACGAGTGAGCAAGCTCCCGTCCACTGGTTCACTTTCCAAATGCCCACAGTGGCAGAGACTGAGCCAAATCCAGGGTCAGGAACTCAATCCAGTTGTGGCATCACTGCTGCCCCCAGAATCTGCATCAGCAGTAAGGTGGGGTCAGGAGTTGGAGCCTGATATTTGTACCAAGGTACTCCATCCAATGTGGGATGTGGTTACATTAACTGCTAGGCCAAATGTCCAAGCGCAGACAATTCTCAATGCATAGCTGGTTGAAACGGCTAATATGGAGGCTATGCACACGGAGGCCTGCCTGCATTACAGGGTTTTTAAGACATGATGTCTTTTCTGAAGACGATTACAGGGAGATGGACGCAGACAGGTGATGCTGAAGTTATGAGGACAGAAGACGATGGATATGTGCAGGGTGTCTGGAGCCATTTAGTACAGTCTGAGAGACCAGCAAAGGCTGCCTGGGAGATGTAGTTTCTAAGCAGAAGACCAGGGAGTGAGTGGGAATGAACTTAGAGCATGGAGAAGCTGAAGGAAACTAGCCCAGGCCACGGGAATTGAATGAGAGGTGTGTGTCAAGAGACCACAGGTAGGTGGCATGGGGTAAGAACGCTCTGTAGCATGTGAAGGGGGACAACCCAACACACTGAGCACACAGTATACATTTGTGGGATGAATTAGGAGGGTCCAGCCAAGTGTGGCTTTGGAGTAAGGAGCCTAGTGGCCACTGGGAGACTGTAAGCAAAGGCGCATCATGGCTTTAGAAAGCCACTGTAGTAACACCTGGAAAATAGTTTCTCTTGGGTAGGGAGGGGCCAAGTTTGTCTGTCTTCCCAGCAGGCTTTTTTTTTTTTAAGGAAGGCCTTATTTCAGAAACTTGGATAAAAGTTTTGCCCTGAAATTAGAATTTTTTTTTGCTTATAAGTCAGTCTATTTGGCCAAATACAAATTATAGCACTTATGGAGTTTTTCCTTTCAGAAATTAAACTATGACACCATCAGCTCGTGGCATTTTGATATATGCCCAGCAAGGTTCTTGTCTTTCCTTTCCTCTTTTAGCTTTCATTTCTTTCTCTTTCTTCTTTCATTTCTCTCCTCCTCCTCTTCCTCTTTCTTCTATCTGTGTTTAATCATGTGGCTCAATAAGCCCCAAACCACAGCTCAGCTTCCCCCTGGTGTTAGTGCAACTCAAACAGGAAGACCACGCAGTGTCCCCAGTCACAGACAGATCATGGTAAGTGCCTGAGCTGGAGCAATATTAGTGTATTAATCCATTGAGGCTGCTCTAACAGAACACCGTGTGACTTTTAAACGGTAGATATTTATTTCTCACAGTTCTGGGAACTAGGAAGTCCAACATCAAGGCTCTGGCACATCTGGTGTCTGTTCATAGACAACCACCTGTTCACTCTGTTTGCACATGGCAGGAGTGATGAGAGGTCTCTCTCCAGCACTAATCCCATTCATGAGGGCTCCACCCTCACATCCTAATCACCTCCTAGGAGTCTTACCTCCCAATATCATCACTATGGGGTCAGAATTCCAACATATGAATTTAGGGGCAACATAAGCATTCTGTTGATGGCAGTAGAATGAAGAAAAATGAAGACACATTGGAGAAACAGCAAGGAGTCAAATCTGGACAGACACACACAAGCACATGGGGGCAGTAATGGTGACAGACGGGTGAGCCAGGAGGAATTGCACTTTCTGACCTGGGTGGCTGCTGTTTGCTGAAACAGATAACACGGGATGAGAGCAGCTCTTGGAAGGAGGAAGATGCATTTAGGGCACATTGGATTTGAGGTGCATGTGGGACCATCCCTCAAGAAGTAGGGCGTATGAGTCTGAAAGCAAGGCAATGATGGCAGGGTTGGAAATACAAAGTTAGTGGTTATCAGCTAGAGGCTCTGACAGCTATTTTCAAAGATGACCACCATCAACTTCTTCCCTCCCTGTCTGCACATGCGCCTCCCCTATGAAGAGGTGGAGTTCATTTCAGCTCTCCCCAGTTTTATAAGTGTTTTGACCAACAGAACCCTGTAGAAGAAACAGTCTGAGACTTCTGTGCTCAAACCTGGAGAGGAAAGGCAACTTTTGTTCCAACCTTTTAGAACACTGTCTGGGGTGCAGCTGCCATGCCGTGAGGAAGCTCAAGCTACAAACCCACAGAAGCATGATAATGAATGGGAGCTGTTGTTTTAAACCATAGTCCTAAATTATTTCCATAATAGAGCAGAAATTACTGCCTGCTAAGGTCTGAATATGTCCCCCCAAGTTTGTATGGTGAAACTTATTCATCAATGCAATAGTGTTAAAAAAAAAAAAGGTGGGGCTTTGGGGATGTGATTAAGCCATAGGGTAGGGCTTTTATGAACAGCATTAGTGACCTTAGAGAAGGAGGGACCTAGCCAGGTCTTTTCGCCCTTCTGCTATGTGGGAAATTTGTCACTTTTTGCCCTTCTGCCTTCTGCCATATGAGAACACAGCCACAAGAGGCTTGTTTGGGGTACAGCAGAATTTGTCTCGCTAAAGCTCATGAAAGTGTTTAAACTGTGATGTCTTCATGTTAATGGTTGATGGATTAAGGGTGGGAACTGGATCTAATTGTGGCTGGGAGGTCTTTAGGTCACTGAGGACACGCTTTTGGAAGATGGTTCTCAAGAGCAGATTGAGGGGCTGGCACAGTGGCATAGCAGGTAAAGCTGCCACCTGCAGCACCAGCATCCCACAGGGGCAAGGGTTCCAGTCCAGGCTGCTCCACTTCCAATCCATTTCCCTGCTAATTCATCTGGGAGGGCAGCGGAGGTTTTACCCAAGTGCTTGGGTTCCTACACCCACAGGAGAGACCTTGAAGAAGCTTCTGGCTCCTGGCTTCAGACCAGCCCAGTTCTGGCCATTTCGACCATTTGGGGAAGTGGACCAGTAGATGGAAGACCTCTCTATCCTTCTATGTCTCTCTCTGTAACTCTGCCTTTCAAATAAATAAACAAATAAATCTTTTTTTTTTAAGAGCAGATTGCCCACTTGAGTTCGAGTCCTACCTAGTTTGCTCTTCCTGTTCTCTGTGTCACTATGTGATCAGCCCCCTGCACCTGCCATGACCAGCCCCCACAGTCCACCATCCAGTAACCTCCAGACTGTAGGCTGAGATAAACCTTCCCCCACAACCCCCACCCCCAGGAAGCTCTTCCAGGTTCTTTTCGTTAAAGTAACAAAAAGCAGACTGATGCAACACTGTTTGGGAGGCAGAGAGCAATGCCCAGCAGACATTGAAACTGTCAGTGCCTTGCGCTTGGACTGTCAGCCTTCAGAACTGTGAGGCATCGACTTGTGAGACCCAGTCTCAAGCAGTATGTTACAGCAGTAGGGATGGATTAAGACGGCACCTGAAGATGGAGTGCTACAACTGAAAACATCCAATATATACAACATTGGCTTTGGAGTTTGGTTGCAGATGGAAGTCGGGAAGAATCGAAAGACATAGGAAGGCTGAAAGGGCAGAAAGGAAAATGCTGTTGGAGATGACAGAGTAAGGGATATTAAAGGAAAAAGTCTAGACAAAAGAAATTCAGAAAAACTTTTTTGAATCAAACCGCTCTCAGGGGGCTTGTGGTTAAGCATCCGCTGGCGGTGTCAGCATCCAGTATGGGCACTGGCCTGAGTCCCAGCTGCTCCACTTCCAATCCAGGTCCCTGCTAATGTGCCTGGGAAAACAGTGCAAGATTGCCCAAATGCTTGGGCTCCTGCACTCATGTGGGAGGCCAGGGGGAAGCTCCTGGCTTCAGATTGACCCAGTTATGGGCATTGACTCCATTTGGGGAGTGAACCAGTGGATGAAAAACCACTTTCTCTGTCTCTCCCTCTCTCTGTAACTCTGCCTCTCAAAAAGAAAAAGAAAAACAAAAACAAAAACAAAAGCAAAACACTCAGTACCAGGAGAGGTTCAGGGAGTTCTATCCAGCAATCTTGAAGTTTATGGACAGAAACAGTTTTATCTGTGAGAGTTGGGCATTTGCCTTAAATTATTTTTTATTTTATTTATTTGAAAGGCAGAGCTACAGAGAGAGAGAGACGCAGAGAGACAGACAGAGGTCTTCCATCTGCAGATTCACTCCCCAAATGGCCGCAATAACTGGGCCTGGGCCAGGACAAAGCCAGGAGCCAGGAATTTCTTCTGGGTCTCCCACGTGGGTGCATCCTTTACTGCTTTCCCAGGTGCACCAGCAAGGAGCCGGATTGGAAGCAGAACAGCTGGGACTCAAAGCAGCGGCCATATGGGATGCTGGCACTGCAGGTAGCAGCTTAACCTGCTATGCTACAGCACCGGTCCTGCTTCTGAGGATTTTTGAGATTTTTCCCCACCACACCTTGCCTCAAAAAGGTTCACAGATTTTCCTTTGTTTGCATGGATTATAGTTTGGTGCACAGAAAGCCCACAGATTGTTTTAGAGAAATTATATCAGATAGGGGAACATCAAAGGAGAGAGCCCTGGATCCCCAACTTCCTGTGAGCAAAACGCATGCTGTGCAGTCAACTCGGCTACAGACACAAGGCACTCTTCCTAGGGAAAGAAAGATAAGGGGCCGGCGCCGTGGCCCACAAGGCTAATCCTCCACCTGCGGCGCCAGCATCCCGGGCTCTAGTCCTTGTTGGGGTGCAGGATTCTGTCCCGGTTGCCCCTCTTCCAGGCCAGCTCTCTGCTGTGGCCCGGGAGTGCAGTGGAGGATGGCCCGAGTGCTTGGGCCCTGCACCCCATGGGAGACCAGGAGAAGCACCTGGCTCCTGCCTTCGGATCGGCATAGTGCGCCGGCCGCAAAGCACCAGCCATAGCGGCCACTTAGGGGGTGAATCAATGGAAAAAGGAAGACCTCTCTCTCTCTCTCTCTCTCTCTCTCACTCAGCCTGTTAAAAAAAAAAAAAAAAGATAATCTCCAAACACGACCACCATTGGTTTCTTCCCTGCTTGCAGGCAAAGGCTGCATGCCCGTCAAGAGATGCAGTTTGTTACCTTGGGGGGCCTTGTGGCTGCTTTGACCGGTACAACACGGCAGGAGTGGAACATTCTAATCTCTGCCCTAGGAAAATGGGCCATTTTTACCTCGTGCAGTTTGGAATACAGCCACCATATCTAAGGAAGCTGAAGCAGCGGTGAGGAATGGCCTAGAGAGAAGAAAAGTGGGACCTGTAGGTGTCAGCCGTGGTTATGCTTAGCCAGTGACCAGCACCACCAGTTCCCAACCAGAAGAGTGAGGTCACTTTGGAGCCATCATATCTCTTGGCGTGTTAGCCGAACCTACTGAAAAAAGGAAAGCACCCAATTAACCCACAGAATTGGGGCCGATAATGATGTGTCCCCATGTTAAACCACTAAGTTTCAGGTGGTTTGTTGTAGCAACGCACAACCAAAACAGATAGAGATGAATACATTGAGATTGACAGAGATACGTCCAAGAGAGACTGCACAGCAGTGAAAGAAGACAGCTTGGGGGAGAACAAGAATTTTAAGACAGTAATTCTGAAAAAGAGACAGAGAAGCAGGAAGAAGTGGGAAGAGCGCACAATGAAGGAAATTTGTGAGAACCACTTCGGGTCAGCAGTGAAAATGCAACAGAGAGTTCTGAACACAGATGGAGAGGTGTGGAGGCCTGCCATCATCTTTGCTTATGGGAAATCATCCACAACCTTTGCCAAGGCAACCTTGACGAAGTAGTGGAAACAGAAGCGGAATCACAAGGGGTTAAAGAGATGAACAGCCAGGAAAGTTTGCTTAGTCATAGACAGTCAAAACAGACACAGACACGTCTGCAACCAAGTGTCTCACGGGGAAGTAAGAGTAATAGGACATGGGCTAAATGGGGCCACTGGGTCAAGAGACGTGTCCTTGAGTTAACACACACGTGCTTTCCAATCAAGCGCTAGACAGACTTGATGTTTGCAAACTGCGTCTTCAGGCCGCTGCGTGGCTTCAAAGCTGGGGTCCATGTGGTTCTTCTTGAAAGCTGAGTGGAGTTGCATTATTGTCATGCGTGGCAGGTGTTGTGTGGGGTAAGGGGTACCTCACTGGGTGTCCAGTGCTCAGTCTGCCATTGGAGGTGTGGGGCAATGCACTCAACAAAGTGGCAGGGCCCTCTTGAGTGCTCAGAGGCCAGGATCACCCAGAACAGCTCCTTCCGAGCCCCAGAGTTGATGAGCTAAGATGGTCCCCTTGGCCACCTCTGGATCAAAGAGGTATGTGGACACGCACAGGGACAAGCCAAGGTACCCAACAAATGGGGAATATTGGGGGTTGAGGTTGGGTTTGCCAGGTACAACTTCCTTCCTGAAAGAACCAGTGTTGCTGGGTCTACACAGCCTGGGGAGGTAGATGTCTATCACTTAGGGTGTCCCATGGGCAAGGAGCACCTTCCAAGGCCAAGTAAAAATACAGATTTCATTTCAAATCTCACAACTGCCACTGCACATCTCAATGTTTTAGTAAATAAATTTGTACAGGAAAAAATTCATTTATTATTCCACCCTTAAGAAGATCCTTTGAACATTCCTGCTAAGCGGAATGATGGATGTGGGAATGAAAATGCAGACACAGTCTTAGCACTTGTCCAGCTGCGGAGCCCACTTGGCGGAGGTGGAGGGGCAGCCCCGCAGGTGTTGGCTGCAACGTTGCAGGAGGTGCTGAGGGGCTTACCAGGCATTTCTACTGCTGCGCCGTGTGCTGTGTGACAGACCCTTCCCCACCATTTCTCTCCAGTGCCTTCCCCGACTTTTCCCTGAGTGTGGGACACAAAGATCAAAGGGCCCCACTCCTAGCCCTGGCCCCTGACACACCACTGACCATGTGGCCTTGTGTGATTCCATCTGCCAGGGTTTTCCTTATCTTATTAACAAGAATACTGTCAATAGCACCTGTGCCATGAAGATTCTGTGAGATTTAAATGTGTAAGTGCAGGTAGAGGGCTTACAAGCATCCTGGCCTACACTAAGTGCTGTGTGTACCACTAGTTACCAATGCTTCATGAAATCCAAGTTTCCTTCTCTCTCTCTCTCTCCCTCTCTCCTTCTCTCCCTCTCCCTCTCCCTCTCCCTCTCCCTCTCCCTCTCCCTCTCCCTCTCCCTCTCCCTTTCCCTCTCTCTCTCTGGAAGGAGGATATGACAAAGAGCCATGTTGTATTTCATGGGGAAGCTGACGAGATGAGGGCACTGCCAGGGGTTCATCACAGTGGCATTTTGGAAACAGTTACCACCATGGCTACTATTTTGATTCAGACTTCCTTCTTGGTGTGCATCTGTGGTCACACATTTTGCTTTACTGCCTTTGGAAGTGTGCCCCTCATTCCTTCGCTCAATGAACACCCACCTGACCAACATTCTCGTGGGTGCTGGAAAGGCGTACAGTCGAGATCCCCATTCCCGGTGTTTATATTTTCCAGGGAGGAGTGACCAAGACCGTTTTCAATACTAACACCTGCTGTGGCTGCCAGCACACGTGGCTACGGTTGAAACTGACTTGGAGAAATCACTCCTCTAGACAGGACGGTCAGGAAGGCCTCTCTGGGAGGGAGACAGTGGAGCTGTTGGAAGAGCAAATGAGACTGAAAATTGGAAACCACAAGTAGTTGGGTCCCTGCTACATACCTATTGCAGCCATCTGGGGAGTGAACCAGCCAATAGGAGATCAATCTCTCTCTCTCTCTCTCTCTCTCTCTCTCTCTCCTTCTGTCTTTCAAATACATAAATCTTACCAAAAAAACGTGAAGTGACAGAATGGAAGCATCTTCCCAGAGGATACAGGAACAAAATCAGCTCTGCTGACAGAGGTAGCAACTCTTTCACGTAACTCCATGGAGTGATTTAGCACAATTTGAGTGCCCTATGTCAACTCCATGGATGAACAAGGATAGAAACTTCCATCAGAGAGCCATTAGGGACAGGCATTCGGTGTGGTCCTCAGGGCACACTTGGTACGCGCCTCTCCCAACTCTGGGTTCTTGGTGTGGAGCCCTGAGTCCGCTTTGGACCCAGCTTCCTGCTAATGCGCATCCTTGGAGGCGACAGGTAATGGCCTCGAGTACTTGAGTCCCCGTCATCGTTGTGGGAGACCCAGATGGAACTTCTGGCTCCTGCCTCTGGCCCAGCCTGGCCCCAGCTGTTGCAGGCATTTGGGGAGTGAATCAGAGGAGAGAAGATATATCTCTATCTCTCTGCTCTCTCTCTGTTTCTCCACCTTTCTAATAAATGCAAATAAATACATGCATAGACTTTTTTAAAAAGAGAACACTTTATAGCCAATATATTCAGCATGGATGGGACAACAACCTCTAAAAATAGGGGGAATAAAAGATCACCACAAATACTCCAAGGCAATTTTTATATGATTAAAGTTTACACAACCCAGGAAACATCCATACCTTGTCTGGAAAGACTCTAATTAGGCATTTAATAAAAAGAAAGTGACATAATTCCCACCGTTTCTTCTTTTCTAGTCCTTGTAACATCAATAATAAAAAGAAAGCTCTTACAACCTCATTATGATTCAGTTGTATCACTGACAATGGCCTCTTTCTTCACTAAATTAATGCTTCATTCAGTCACGACTGCAAGTGTCAAATCGATTCACCCAGGCGCCTGGATTTTCATAATGCCCCATGCTGGCTCTGCTAGACTCCACTGTTCATGCTTGCAGCCTCAACAGAAGTTCTCTCCACTGTATGTCAGTGGAAGAACGTTCTTCCTTCTACTCTTGGACTTGCTCCTCTCCCAGGATAGCTAGTTCATTAATTAATTAATTATCATCCCATGTCTTTTAGCCTGGGGCATGAGTCTCCAGTCTTAAAAGTGAAGTGGTCTCAACTCAGCACGTAGTGCGCAGGTGTTGAAATCCCTCTGGTGTAGTGTGACTGCTGAGTTTAGGAGCACCTTCCAGAAAATAGCTGACATTGATAAAAGGCCCACCGTATACGAAGCACCTGCACGTGCTATCATGCTTAATCTAATGCCCCAAACAGCTACCACTGTGTAGTGTTTACTACCATGTGCTGCTAGGCCCTATTCCCTGGGAGCTTGGTGGTGAGAAATGATACCCAAAGGCTGTATATTTAACTTTCACAACAGCCTTTTGGGGTAAGTGGCTACTCACCTGTGCTACTGGGATCCCATTGGGGTCTGAGCTCTGCTCATCTGCTTGTGCCCACCAGGGATCTATCTATATGCATGAAGAAGTGGGGAACCCTCTGAGGAAGAACTCACACGAAAGGAGGAGAGAGTTGAGCATGGTGATCTTGACCCAGTCACAAAGAGTCTATTGTAGGGGTCGGTAGGACATGGTGTTTGCTGTTGATATCCTTGGACTCCTTATAAGGATTCATGTCTGGGTACTAAGAAGATAAAGGGATATAAGAAACAACAAGAACATCAATAAAACAAAACCAGAAAAAATAACATATCTAAAGACCATGTATGCCAATGGGCCATAAACAGCAAGCTTTAGTGCCACCTCTCTTTGGTCCAGACCACAGGGTCTCCTGCTCAGCACCTGTCCCCTCCTTTTCATTGTTCCTAGTATAATCCCTGTCCGTTTTGACAAGACAGCTTCCTCTGGGGACACGGGCTTCAGCCCCAGCCTGGGGGAGGACAGGTGTAGTCTACATGCAGTCTCTTTCCTCTTGCCATTGCTTGGCTCAATACTAAGCAGGAGTCTCGATCCAGCGTTGCTTAGGTCTTCGAGGGACGTTCTCCCTGCTTCCTTTAGGAGAATATCGAGATGCGACCTCTTCTGTCTGCACACTGTCGGGACAGGCATTTTCTGGAACGCTTACGTGGTTTAGTTACCAAATTAGAATGAAGCCCAAACACGAAGTATGAAAAGCCAGGAGAATCACATGGGAACACAGTGGAAGCCCCAGGAGTTCATCAACCTGAAAGGTGCTTGTGCAGAAACTGCACCCCTCTCTCCCCCCTCCCTGATCTATTTTTCCCTGTCTTCCACATAGCAGAGCCTCCAACCATCCAAAATAGAGACAGCTCCTCTGTGCAGGTTGATTTGTCCATGTGGTTAAGCCCCAGTATATGGAATATCAGTGGAATGTCATGCGGCAGCCCATAGACACCTTCCTTGTAAGACAATTGGCTCACGACATCTCCGTTCTTTCTTTTTCTTGATGCTGGGAGCAAGGATATGATGTCAGGAACTCTAGCCATCATCTTAGTCCGTGAGCACAGTGCCATACTCACTCTGGACATAGCAGAGTAGGGAGGTGGAAGGGAATGGGAAGAAAATGAAAGATGTTTCAGATTCTATGAAATGCTGTTACCGTAGAAGCCCTGGCCTTCCTATTTCTGGCTTTGTACATGTGAAAGAGGAACAAAGCTCATTTAAGCCACTGTTAGTTTGGGCCTCTGCTTCTTACAACCTAACCTAATCCTCACTAGTACATGTTTTCTTACCTTTAGACTTCCACTTTGTTGTCTAGGAGACAATAAACCCATTTGTTTGGGCCAGATTAGTTTGAGTGTTTGATTAACCTGCAACCAAAAACATCTTAACTAATCTATGGAATGGGGCAGCTTCCCCCCAACTCAGCTACAAAATTGTCTGAAGCTTTTACGAAGTCTTAAGTCAAGGCCTAAGGTTCATGAATAGTTACACCAAGATAAATGTAGCCTTAGAGAGATAGTGCCATTAGGAGACAGCCATGCCCAGTGGGAGCCAGCAGATACAAAAGTGTCCATCAAAAACATCAAAAACAAAAAGAGAAAAGTGTATTCCGTGTGGTAGTTAACATGGACTTAATTGGATTTGTATGGGAGTTACTGCAAGTCCTCCCTGAGACTCCAAGAGATGTTAGAGGAGTAGTCCATTGACAAGACGGGCTAATAATTCATGGAGTAGGTTTTATCACCCTTCAGCTCAGCTGTTGTTAAGCAACAAGTTGATGAGAATAGAGAAAATTGCAGTACACAAGGATGAGGATCTCCAAAAGGATAAATAACTTGCACAAGTTTATGCAACTAGTCCCACAGTTTACATCAACGCCAAATCCCTATATAGAGAGATTTTCATGTCATGGTTTGTTCCCAATAAATGTCATTGCCTTCCTCTAAACAAATGCACCTTTGTTTTTGCCAAGAATTTTTCTCACATTGGATGAGAGACTAAATCATACTTACAGTAACACCCACTTACCCAAGATAACTGAAGATAACCCATCAGGAATGTTGGTACTGGAAGTTTCCTTCTAAATATAAATCCTCTGAGTCTACAAGCCAACCCCTGACTTTAATTACAAATTTTAAATTATATTTTGAGATTCAATCCTTATAATTTTTCATAATCCACCTATTCTCCCTCATAGGAATAAATAAGATCCAATTGGGTATTGGAAATAATTTCCAAATCATTTTCACCATTGGATGCTAAGTTGTTAAAAATCATCTTTACAGTTCCAACCAGCTGGCCCTGGCTTTGGAGCATATGTAAATCAGTAACCTGGCAGAGAAAAGACACGCATTTTTCCAAGGATGGGTCAGAAATGTGTGATTTTTTCCCCTGCAAGCTGTTGGCTCGCCAATTGCAAGGGGTGAACCTCAAGAGATGCAGAAGCTCAATCTGAATAAACAACGCAAAATTTGGACACTTATCAGAACTCTGGCAAAATGAGGCCAGGAATGGACTCTATTTTCTAGCGAGGTTTCTAGTATTTCTTGTTGCCAGTAGGCCTGGCCTATCTTAGGAAGAGTCTTCTGGTGCCTGGAACCAGATGGAAAAGATAACAATCGAAGAAACCAGAGAAAGTGAGTGCTGTTGCAAGCTGCAAGATGATTATAATGCAATAAATTGACTTTTTTGCTTCTTTCTTTGTCCTAGAGTTTTATCCTTTTTGGTTTTTGTGCTACCCCTGGAAAGAGCTTTGCAAAGTGGACCTTAAGCCATCTACAGTGTGGACAGCAAGCAAGTCTATGCAATGGATTAGTTCCGTGGAGTGCTGTTTGTCTACCCTGAGCCATTACTAAGGGACTCTGCATCAACAAGCTGGAAGAGACCACAATGTGATCTGTGATAAATAATAGTCTGATCATGAGTCATTCTTCTCTGAGCCAAATAGGACTCTCCTCAGTCATTCCAAAGAAGTGGGAAATAAATCTATTTAGGGAAAGGGATTCTGAAGAGCCCTTACAGAGCAAAGTTAACCCTCTGGTAGGTGTGGTTGATTAAATCACAGCAACCCTCTTCATCCCCTTCTCTTTACAAATAATTTCTTTATTTATTTGAGAGAGAGGGAGACAAACCTAGACAGATAGACAGGGGTCCCACTCACTCGTTCACTCCCCAAATGCCCACAGTGGCTGGGATTGGGCTGGGCCAAAGCCAGAAGCCAGAGATACAATCCGGGTTTCCCATGTGGGTGGCAGGTTCCTAATTATTTGAGCCATCGTTGGTACCTCTTGAGGTCTGCATTAGCAGGAAGGTTCCGAGCCAGAGTTGGATATCAAGTCCAGGCACTCCAATGAGGGATGTAGGCATCTTAACCGCCAGGCTAAACGCCCACCTCCCAACTTCTTCCTTCTTCATTGTGTGCTTCCCTATACAGCAGACAATAGAAAGCTCAACAGTTTCCCCCCAGATCTCTTGCAGCTAGAGTTCTGGATATCATTTGGATCTCGCTACTTGGATTCACTAGTGAAAAACTGGAGGTAGATAGTGAGATGACCACCTGACTTGTACTTCTGCTGTTTCTGGAGGCAAACACCCCCTGGCACAGTTGGCATGGCCCTAGCATCTAGTCGCTGGCCTCTTGAAGAGCTGGTGATAAGATGTAAGCCACCCACTTTACCCAGGCCTGGGCCTGGGGAAGTTCCGGAACAGGCAGGTGGCAGGGGGCTTCCTGCTGTCCTGTTTGTGCCGCCTTCCTGATTGTGGGATTCAGAGGATATTTTTAGAGCCACCAGTGATGGCAGGTACTTGCCAATGTGCTGAGCAGCTTCATGGAGATGGAAGATCCCTTAGCTGCCTCAGGGGCCTTGTTTTGTGAGGTGGCTTTGAGAGTCGGTTCTAGAAACTCAAACTTCCTAACAATTCTGTAAGCCACCAAATACCCCATAATCAATCCATTTCTGCTTTAAATTGACTGGAGGGTGTTCTGCATCCTGTAGCTAAACTCATCCACATGCCCTCTCCTTTCCATCTACTGAAATCCCAACTTCTTTAGTGTTTGCAGATGGACCTGGGGTGGACTGAAAGGGCAGTGAGGGTGGAGCAGGAAACAGAAGGGGTATTTCCAGGAGCTGATTGACCTAGGGGAAATTTTTACCCAAGAGGCCATTGCTGACCTGATGAGTTGTGAAGGAGGGAGAAAATCAGACGCCAGGAGATGGAGCCAAGGTCAGAGCAGAGGAGAAATCAAATTTCAGGCTTAGATGAAGGCAGAGACTGAGGTCTGTAAAGGAAACTCAGAGCGTGCAGGAAGTGGGAAAGTTTCTGCTTGGGTAACCCAGGCTCTTCATGGCGCTGCGCTCAGCTGCAAGAGCGAACTGGTGGAGAATGATGTGTGAGTGGGCTCAGACACCCCTGCCCTGTGCCCCAGCCAATCCAGCATCCTTCACAGCACACCCCAGGGCTTTGGGAAGCAGAGGTGACTCAGGCTTCTCTTAATCCTCTTGCGCCCCGGCTTCCACGTTCCCCGTCTCAGCTCCATGTGCCACCTTCCAGGAGAGCTGCCCCAGCCCCAGCGTGTTGCCATCAGACACCACTTCCCACCGTGCCATTGGTTGAGGACAGCGTGCAGCAGGCTTCATAGCAGGGCTACGAAGCAGAGTGGGTGCTACATAAGAGCTTTGATGGAAAACCACAAAGCTGAGTGTGAGTCCCTTTCTTCAAATTGGCCAATGCAGCTCCCAACAAACTCTATTTGGCTCTTTCTCTTGCTTGGGCTCCTGCCTTATTCTGCATGCAGACAAGACCACCCCATCCCACCCCCGCCTTGCCATGTCCAGGTAACATCGGCAAAGCCTTACTTCCTTCTTCCATGGAGCAGTTCACATTTTGTCTCCTCCATCCACCATGACCTTGACAAATGGCTTTTCTACACAAAAAATGGCCCATTGAGAAAGCTGGCCCCCTAAGATGTTCTCGGCCACTGGCTCTTATGTAAGGGTTGGGGTGGGGTTGAAGACACAGCAGAGAGGGCTTGCCCAGAGCAAAGTCCCAGTGGAGGGGTGAGGCTGGGCCAGAGCTCAGATGGAGGTAGAGGTTCTCCTGGGACCCCTCCCACTGAGGAGGCACAGAGGAGGAAGGACTGCTCCTGCTCTTATTCCTGGGAGGCTGGAAGCCACGGGAAGTTCGCCTTTTCCCCTTTCCACTCAGCCTGGTGCATCCCATGGTGGTAGAGCATGGCAGTTAAGAGTCTTGCCGGGGGCTGGCACTGCAGCACACTGGGGGTTCAGCAGCCTGCCAAGCCAGCATCTCATATCAGTGAGCAGACTCAAGTCCCAGGTGCTCTGCTTCCCCTGTAGCTCCCTGCTAATGTTCCTGGGAAAGCAGTGGAAGATGGCCCAAGTGCTTGGGCCCCTGCACCCAAGTAGGAAGTCCAGAAGAATCTCCCGGCTCCTGGCTTTGGCCTGACCCAGCCCTGGCTATTGCGGCCATTTGGAGAGTGAACCAGCAGATGGAAGATCTCTCTCTTTCTCTTTTATTCTGCCTTTCAAATAAGTAAATAAGCTTAAAAAAAGGAAAAAAGTGTGTTGCTATAGCAACTATATATATATGTATAGGCATGCTCACCCCACTATTCCCCAGTTGCACAGCTTCCTGGCAAGTTTGCTTGACTTTGAACTTGGAAAATGAGGTTAGCAATGTGACTGACTTTATAGGGTTGATGGACATTAAATGAGAACATGTATAAAGGGTAAGCGAGTACTCGTGAAACAAGACTGCAATGTCTCCAGCGCCAGGGCCCTCTCCAGGGAGCCAGACTGGGGTGCAGACCCAGCACAAACCAGTTGGGCAGTGGTGTAGGAGGAAGGGGCAGAGGCCCCCCGTGGCTATTTGAAAGCTCTGTGGTGTTACAGAGGCTGTTTAACCTGTCCAACACTCAGTTTTCTCATCCACAAAGTGGGAGTGATTATCCCTACCTCATAAGGCTCTTCTGAGAACTGAAGACAACAGCACTTTCTTTTTAAAATTAATTTCAGAGATAGAGTTACAGAGAAAAAGAGGGAGAGACAAAGAGAACCTCCATCTGCTGGTTACTCTTCAGTTGACCACAATGGCCAGGGCTAGACCAGGCTGAAGCCTGGAGCCAGGAGCTTCTTCCAGGTCTCTCATGTGGGTGGCAGGAACCCAAACACTTGGGCCATCTTCCACTTCTTTTCCCAGGCCTCTAGCAAGGAGTTGGATCCGAAGTGGAACAGCCGGGACTCGAACCAGAGCCCATATGGAATGCCAGTATAATAGGAGGCAGCTTTACCCACTACACCACAGCACCAGCCCCCTACATTATTTTTTATGAATAAAATAAAGTTATAGAAACAACAACTATACCTTTATAATAATAATACTTAGAGCCAACTGAATCAGCCTTGCTAGGGGCAGACAGAATCCTTGGATGGCTTCTCCCATTGCCAGTTCAATGTGCTCTTGGGCCCCGTTCTTCCCCACTGCGAAATAAAATCTCAGCTGGGGTCTCCTCTTTGGCTCCATCATCCTTAGACAATAAAATAACAATCTTCAGCTCCTATTCAAATATTAAAGTGTCAGCTCCAGTGCAATCCTCAAATCATCAAAATAGCAAGCTCTCGCTGGTTAAAAGCTTGCCCATCCCTCAACGCAAGCCATCAGTAGGTAAGGCCGTGTGGCCCATGTCCTTCTCCCCACTCCGGCTCCTCCCCTACTCACCGGTCGCTAATTCTGCACCAGGGGGTCCTGCACATGGGGACAGGAGCAGGAGGAGGAGGTGGAGGGAAAGACTGAGTGAAAGGAAGCAGTAGAGCAGTAGTGAACCTGAAAGGCATTGGTGCCCTGGGCCGTGACGGAGCCCCAGAGCTCCCTCCTGGTCTCCTGCAACTCTGCCATTTTGAAAGCCTCTGACTGGGTGCCTTCCAAATCTTTTGTCGTAGGCAATTCCTGTCCTCCAGCTGTCTGCTTAGCGCTGGCCCCTTATGCCCAATATCCTTCCAGCCAACATCCTTCCATCAGAAGTGGACAACTGCTGTTTGCAAACCCTCTCAAACTTTTGCCCTCCCCTAAGTGTGAACCCAGTTGCCCAAGGAAACGTGCGCACTGCAACATTTTCCAGTTGGCTTTGTGCTAGGACACCAGACAGAATCTGTACACCAGAAACCCCACCTGGGGCTTCCAGACTGACATTAGGCCTGCGAGCAGCGGGCAGAGGGGCACGGCTTCGCTGGTGTTGATGTGGGTGACCTCAGGGGCCGCTCAGTCAGGGGAGTCAGCAGAGGCCCAGCCTCCGCTCCTTTCTCTGTGTGGTTTTGAGACTTGTTCCTGGGAGCGCAAACTCAAGATTGTCCTACAGGTTTCATGTGTCTAATGCCTTCTAGTCAGTCCCCTCCTACTTACACCGAGAGGCAGGGGCCCCATCGTCTGTTACTAAGAGCTCTTCGCAAGATAGGACCCCCATCCCCATGGCAGATCTTTGGGTCAGTTCTTATTGAAGGTGGCCCTGGGCCAGTTTCCCTCCACGAGCCCTCCGCAGGCATCAGCGCGACCAGCAATGCGGCTCGCTTCTGCCAATGGGGAGAAGAGGGTGATTGGCGCCGCCTCTAGCCTTCAGACTCTTCTGGTGTGAGTCCCAAACCAACCCTGTATCCTACAGGAGACTTGCTCATCTCTGCAAGCAGATCCCCAAAACCTTCCTCGTTTAGCTTATGCTGAAGGGAACACACTTCCTTCCCCACCCCATGGAGTGGGCCCAGAAATGTCCAGTACGCCCCTGAGGCGCCCCGGGAACTCTTCCTCTCTGCTGAGCTCCTCACCTCCATCTGCGCTGCCTCTGTGGTCCAGGCATGGCTGATGAGCCCACGTTGGCAGCGCAGGCCTTGTCATCGCACAGCACGTTCTGCCTGGGAGGTCTGGTCCTTTCCTCTAGATGAGGCTGTTTTAGGCATCTGTGGCACCGTTCTCAGCGTTAAAGGCTTCCGCAGAAGCTCTGTGATAGGGTTTTTAACATCCTGTTCAAAATAAGCAGGCATCATGGATTGAATTTTTCAAATAAAGCAATACCAAAATTAACACGTTGTTCAAGATTCCGAATTTTCATCAAGTTCTCATTCAATAAAATTAACCAGTCCAAGATTTCCTGTTTGTACTATCAGCACTAAAAATACCCACGCACTCATGTCGACAAGCTCTGCCCATGACTCACGGGGAGGCATCAGCAGGCTGCCTGGAGCTGCCAGGTTGTCAGACCAACGGATGGGCAGCGAGCATGCCAGAAGACCTTCCTGTCACTTCTGCCTGCGTTGTGCGGAATACCAGGTATGTTGTGAAAAACCGGAACAAGGAAACCTCACCTGTTCTTCATCTGCACCATAAGCCAAGTCTCTCAGGGAGCCCCGGCCTGAGGGTAGCAGGTGCATGCCCTATTTGTATCATTTTTTTTTAGTTTGCTATTTCAAGACTCTAAAGCCTAATCTACTTCCAAAGCCCCACCTGTCACCACCAACAGATTCTGGGAATATCCTGGAGGAATCTGGTGCATATCAGGGGATTGTTCTTTATGTTACCCTTGGTGCATGCCCTTGTCTGCTTCTGTAGCCTTGGTTTCCTATGAAGAACAGCAGAAGAGGCTTCCAGTACCCATGAAGGTACACCAGGCAGATGGCAAAGGTGTGGTCAACCCATGCAGGGTTTCAGAAAACCACTGGAGGACTGCCTTTTGCCACTGTGGATGTCACTGCCACCTATGGTTGGTGCCACCCACATCACAAGCTGCCAAGCCTGCCCCAAACCAGCCCCAAATCCACTCCACCTTCCCCATTACTAGGGAGAACCCTCTACCCCTCCTGGAGTGGCACCCTGCCGTGTGGACCCCAATGTGGATGTGACTCGGGCCTCTGGGTCTCACATCAATTCTAGAGAAACTGCTCTTCAGTGGGACTCATCAGGAGCCTCACGGCTGAACCAGAGAGAAATCAGAGGGACAGACCAGGAGACAGGTGCCAGCCTCCGACCTGGACACCTGCTGTGGATCCCACGTGGGGCCTGGATTTTCCTCTCTGCTTCAGGAGGTCCCAGAACAATGCGCCACAGAGGGATCGCAGAGTAAGCTCAGGCCTGGTAAGCCCTACGATGAAAATAGCTTAGTTTTTCTAGTTGAGAACCCTGACTTCCCACAGATTGAAAGCCACAGCCATTTCTCAGAAGGAAATCGTACAGACTAGCCCACAAAATCAACCACTGAATTTGCAATACCCACTGAAAGGCCAGGGAGGCCGGAGAGTTGACTTCTTTACGTGAAGGGCTGTCAGCATCACTCTCCAAACCAAATGGTCCTCCTCCACAGTGGAGAGAAACACCAGGACACTGTCCTCAGCACTCCTGCCACGTGTGGGTGCCCCCACTCCCACCCTCAGAACATCTCAGCATGATCACAAAACTGTACACAGAGCCCTGTGGCCCAGCCACCTGCCCCTGGCTTCTCTCCCGGGTGTCTCATGTTACCTTGATAGGAGCCAATCTTCTAACCACCCTCCCTAATTTTATCTGGATCATCACTATATCTAACAAGACCAAGGCCCTCCACATTACATATTGTGTTACAGGGAACAGACATACTCATACTAAAACCCATGCTGGCCAAGTTGGGAAACTTTACTCAATTCAACACCACATACATGGAGAGACCACTTACTAGAAAGCAAGCATTAGAATAGCAGAAATTAATCAGATGGACTCCATACAATTTATCATCCATTCCCAAAGAACAGTGTAACATAAGGGGACAGACTAGACATAATGCTTGCTATCTCCACTTAATTTAACCATGTAACCCCTGAACAATTGAATTAATATTTCTATATGTATTTGCACATCCTTAAAATGAAGTACTGTGGCATAGAGGGTAAAGCCACTGCCTGCAGTACCAGTATCCCATATGGGTGCTGGTTCGAGTCCCGGCTGCTCCGCTTCCAACCCAGCTCTCTGCTATGGCCTGGGAAATCAGTGGAAGATGGCCCAAGCCCTTGAGCCCCTGCAACCGCATGGGAGACCTGGAAGAAGCTCCTGCTCCTGGCTTCGGATTAGCCCAACCCCAGCCACTGTAGCCATTCGGGGAGTGAACTGGCAGATGAAAGATATCTCTCTCTCTCTCTCTCCCTCTGCCACTCTGTAACTCTGCCTTTCAAATAAATAAATAAATCTTTTTTTAAAAATGAAGCTAAGAATTGTATCCAATGCTTGGTATTGCTGTGAAGAAAAACAAGTCAAAACACATGAAATGCTCAGAAAAGTACCCAACACTAATACCAATATAATTATTATTAATGGAGACAGATATAGGCAAAAATTGCCATGATATAATAAAATAAATTACCCACTGGTATATTAAAAATACAAACAACTATACACAGCCAAAGCCATGTCCACTGCAAAGATTCAAATATAGATGCATCCGTATGTATTTACAATGTATTGGCTGCTGTGCTGGACCTAGGAGACGGGCTCAGCTCTGTCCCTGTCACACTAACTCCTCAGTCAGTAGTTGTGTTTGGAGAATTAGAGACCCAGGTCTACCAGATGTGTATTTGTTTTTACTTGAAAAACTAAGGAGTTTTTGTTTAGAAAACTAAGGAGTCTCTTTGGGAAAAAATGTTCATCCTCCAGCACTCGCCAGTCATCAGGTGGTCACAGGTGAGTGGACAATTCCTGGGTCACTTATTCTCTTGGCCTTGGCCAAGTGGGAAGGATCACGTGATCTGAAACATGGGTTGTTCTGAGGGCTGCCCTTCGGCTGACCGGTTGGGCTGGCCCACGAGTTGACACTGCTGCGTTTCAGCAGGTTGATGTGGAAGGCCAGTGGAGGGTTCTAGAGCAATGTGGCAGAGGCTGAGGAACAGAGCAGTCATTCACGCCCGTTCAGATACAAGAGGACAGAGGGAGTCATTGACTGATCCACTTTTGTAATACTGAGTCTTCTGACCTCTTTACACCCTCGAATTTCCACTGCTGTGTAGGTGCTTCGTGTACTCCCCTTGAGGGAGGGTCACAGTAGACACGCAATCTTAGTCATCTCCCAAAATGTCCTTTCAAATTCCCGACTCCCAGGAAGCAGGCACTCCTTTGCCTGACTCTCCCATCTGCGTCCATGTCACTAGCATACTCTCCGCCACCCATTCTTGGAAACTTGAACTCCTCTTTGACCCCCCACTCATTTTCTTGTCCCTTTGTTGGGTCAGCTGCCGGCCCCTTTGGGAGTTCTCCAGATGCAGGTGCAAAGTCCAGCTCTCTCACTCACCAGACGTAAACTTTAACAGGTTACTGTGTGGATTTGAGTCTCAGTTTCACAACCCAAAAGATAGGACTGGTGGTACCAACCTTTTAATATCATTCTAGGTTAAGCAAATAGTGGGAGGAAGGCCCTAACACAAGGCTGCACCTAAAGAGCCCTCAGTAAGCACCAGCTCCTATTTTCTACCTCTGACAGGCATTTCAAATCCACCTTCTCATCTTGTTTTCCTGACACGCCCTAGATGACAATAATAGCCTCCTTGTCTTCCATTGTTTCCTTCCTCAACCCACTTCACACCCAACTCTCAGAGACTCTTCCTAAGAAAACTCCCAGCCCCTTCGCTGCCCAGTTTGGAAATCATGATGACTCCTCCAATGTCAACCCAAGAAAGTTCACCATCTTTAGCTTGACATTTCAATATTTCAGACGTAACCACCCCTTCCTCCCTCCGTGTCCAAACTGGGTGAGTCACCAATTCCCGCCGAAAACTTTCCAGGCCTGCACTTTTCTGGACACTGCTGTCCCTACTCAGAAGACACTGTCCTCCTTCGTCCTTTCCAGCCACACTCTATCCATTGCAATGCTCAATTTTATTTTTGCCTCACCCCAGTGCCTTTCCTACTCATCAATGGAAATCAACTTTCTCTCTGAATTTCCATAGAAGAGTTTTTTACCAATCATATGCTATAGGTCATCTTCTATATTACAGTGACATTATCAGTGAAATAGGCTCAACTCTAATTCAAATATAAATTAGATAAATATATTCAAGTATTAGACACGCATGAGCACTTAAAATGCCTGAGAGTTACACGGACAGTTTTCTTCTTAGCTTCTAGGTAAATACCTTGTTTGGGATCCTAAGATCCCACCCTATTGGTTACAAATGATTGAACAGAGCTTTGTGCCTGTATTAAAGCCAGGTTCTCCTTCTAGGAGAGTCTGCATTTGAGCCACGTGGAAAGAGAGTAGTTGGAAGATGCAGCATTTGAGAGAAGCTGAGAAGCAATGAGAAACACCATGAACAGGTGCTATGGAGCAGAAGTTGAAGCGGGCACCATCCATGAGGGGCAGCTGAAAGGTGAGAGAGAGCAAAAAGCCTGCAGGAGCAATGGATGCAGACTCGGCCCAGCAGAAGCAAGGAAAAGGAGAGCAGAGGCATGGGGAGCCGAACACTCAGGTGGGGTCACGCCCTAAAGAGCCTCCAGGTCTCCACTGGACGGGTTCGGCAGCTGTGTTGAGTTTCTGCGCATTCCAGTAGCTAAGAACCCCCGCAGGAAACACCAACACCTTGTGCAACCAAGGCTCTGTTCCTCACTATCTGAAAGAGCTTCCCTCAGAACAGCCAGACCTGAAATGGTTATCTTTGTGCCTGTTTCCCGCAGTGAAATGCATAAATACTTACCGCTTCTCACGTTGTCCAGGCACTAAATATCCTGTTCCATTTTGGAGACAGTCTGTCTTCATTCTAACCTCGGCACCTTATTGCTTAACGCCATACTGTTTGAAAGCTCTGGCTCACCCTTTTGTCTCCTGTGGCCATATGTTGATTTCTTAACTCAGTAGGTTACTCAAGACCATTGCCCCAGCGTCATAGATGAAATGATTGAGGCATGGGCTGATTGAGGCTTTAAAGTTTAGGAACAGGAATGCAATTGAGAATTCCTGAGGTATCCCAGCAATTCTTCTCTGGTGATGGGACTGATAGGGATGGGCAGAATTTTCTTTAAAAAAAAAAAAAAAAAAAGAAAGGAAAGAACAAAAGCTATTTACCACCTTCAAAAACCAAAGCAACAATTTAACAAAATGGTTGGCTTCCTCCTGGGAGCCCTTTGCAAGCCTACGGAAAATGCCAGGTTCCCAGCACTTACCCACGTGTCAAGCTCCACGGGCACAGTGAAGGTTTAACCTGATAATGGAATGGACCTGCAGCCGGCTGGCTGCCCCATTTCTCACCTCTGAATTCTACTTCATCAATACACTTTCTCCCTCCGAACGCTCCTCTGTGAGCTGTCAGTAAGTTGAGAGCCCGATAACACAGAGAGGATGGCGAACAAGCAGAAGTGGTATCTGGCACAGGGAGGAAAACAGGCCTTCCTCCTTAGTTAGCAGCACATTATAGGGTGACTGAGGATTCCACCCAGGAACACAACACAACTAGAGAGGAACATGGACAAAATGCTCTCTTCCCGTGTGTGCAGGTGCATGCAACCTGTACCCATGTAACCTGTGCCCCATACACACAGCAGGTGTATGGGGCAGCTAGGTCCTTTCCTGTGTGTCCCAGTCCTGCTCGGAGATCGTTCTCGCCCTTTGCTTGGAGTAGCCATCTTTGCATTGCTGGAGTAAGCACCCATCTTTCCAGATGTGTCTGATTCTTTGAACGGAAGAGATAACCTCATCCATGCTTTTTATGGAACCTCTGTAAAACCTCTGTTTTAGTGCCAGACATAAAGCATTTGGAATATGAAGATGAAACTCCACGGTCTGTGCCCTCGGTCCACCTAGCACAGGAGGGAGACAGACACTGTAGTGGACACCTACTGCCGTTTGTCCTCCAGCATTCAACCCCAGTTTCTCCTGTCACTGCATCCTCTTTTGTGAGGAATCCACCATTCGGGGTGGGCAGTCTGACTTCCATCATAGAAGCTAAAGGAGCTACACACTTCTCTCTCTACCCCTTTTCCATGCCTGGTACGACCACAGGGTGGGACACTTGGCTAGGCTCAGCCAAGTGGATGCTTTGTCCTGGAACACAGACTCTTAATAGTGTTTATAAGAAACTCTGGTGTGGCCATAGGTTTCAGTCATCATCAAGTTGGTGCCAGTCCTCAGCTTCCTGCTGATTTTTCAACTCTTCTCTATCACGTTCCTTTGAATTGGGGAATAAGTAGTATCATTCCAATGAGTTTATATATTTCTCTTGACGTGGCCAGACTTGTTTCTGTGGTCAACAGTGAAATCCCCCACTAATGCAAAGCCACTAATCTAGGAGGGAACCTCACACAATGGAATTAAAAGAGACTGCACATTTTCCATGAACTTTCTAAGCACAAAAATAACAACCCTGCCCAAGCCAGCTCTCCTAAGTAGGAGGCTTACTGTAGGGATGCAGAGAGTGATACCGGAAGTGGGATGCCTACCAATGTCAGGTAATGAACTTGATGGAATGGGCCTAAAGGGTGCTTCTGTCTTAAGGGGCAGTGGTGTCCCAAGCAACTCAGGGTGGGTGGTCTCCCTGGTCTTGGTGAAGCCAGCATCTGACTGCACAAAAAAAGAACAAAAGCTATTTACCATCTTCAAAAATGGTAGTAACTGAAGCAACAATTTAACAAAATGATTGACTTCCTCCTGGGAGTCCTTTGACTGCACTCTGAGGCTGAGACGGCATCTCAGAACTTTTCCAAAGGGCTGTGCCAACCAATCACTGGATGTGGGTTGCCCTGGGAAGGGTGCGTGATCTTGAGTGGGGTGACTTTCTTCCACACAGACAGGTCCTAAAGAGAGCTGACAGCTGAGGGCTGCCTGTGGGATGACTTCTCGGTCAGGGAGAATAAATCCCTTATAGCTGAAGGGAGATGCAGGCAGCACATTTCTGCATCTATAACATCAGGTCTTTTTGAGTTTCATGACCTTTCAGCTTTGCTTTCTAATGCCCGTGGCTGGAGTCTTTCCCAGTTCAAGTCCCGGGCAGAGAGAGTCTTGTCTGACCTTGGCCTGCTTCATAAATCACTAGCCATCACATGATTTTTCAACCCTTGATGCACTCAGTTACGGTTGGAAAACAGGATCAGATGTAGGAACATGGCCACCTTGGCTCCCCCATTGGACAGGATCTGTGGGCAAGGCTGGAGGAAATCCTAGTGGTAGGCATCCAAATGTCTCCTCCATACGCAATCAACAAAGCAATGTGCTATAGTAGATGAGTGTATGGGTATGCAGTAACTAAAATTTGTGTCCTAAACAAAAGACCTAAGTCTGCCTAGTAGATCCCAGATGGGCTCCCCACAGACCTGAATTAGGACTTGAAGAATGAGCTAGGAGGAGGGTTTTGCCCCACAAGTAGTAGAGTGACATATATCAAGTAGAGGGAACTGCACGTACCAACGCCCAGGGGTGGTGACCCTGGAGGGCTTAGCCTTCTGGCCACCCCATGTACTCACTACCACTTACACAAGTGCCTGGGGGGCATTTTTTGGTTGCTTCTCAGAGGGACCATGCCACCCTCTGAATCATCTGGGGCACTCCTTGTTCCCACCTTTCATGAGCTGGTGCCACTCGGTTCTCTGGGCCAAGTCATGCCCCCCGCGCCCCACCCCAATCCTATTTGACACTGTGCTCTGCCAGAATCCCCATGTGGGGTGACATAACTTGGAGCCCCTGCTGCCTTTCAGACAGCAGCAACAGCCAGGTCAATGCAAACACGGGTCCCTCCTCGGTCACTGTAGCACCCTGAACTTGTGGCAGTGAACTACCTGGCCCCTTAGGAGATGACACCAGAGTGTGCTCTCCAGTTTGCTAACATCATCTCAATTCATCCGCATCCTGGTCCAATGAGGGCTCCAAGTGCTGTCCTTCCCATTTGACAGATGAGAGAACAGAGGCTCAGGGGAGACTGAGTTAATAACTCAACGCTTGTACACTAGAAAACATCCACTATATCAAATAGGAGCACAACACCAACGTGCAGTCACTTTGTAGTGCTTTTAGGGGACATAAAGAACTCTGATCAGGGAGGACTCCCGGGTTCTACCCTTTGCTGCGTCATGCATGCCAAGAAATCTCAAATAAATAACTTACTCTCAGGGGCCAGCTCTGTGACACAGTGGGTTAATCCTCTGCCTGCAACACTGACATCCTGTATGCGTGCCGGTTCTAGTCCCGGCTGTTTCTCTTCTGATCCACCTTTCTGCTGATGGCCTGGGATAGCAGTGGAAGATGGCCCGAGTGCTCGGGCCCCTGCACCCATGTGGGAGGCTCCTGGCTCCTGGCTTTGGATCGGCCCAGTTCTGGCTGTTGTGGCCATTTGGGGAGTGAACCAATGGATGGAAGACTTTTCTCTCTGTCTCTCCCTTTCACTGATGTAACTCTACCTGTCAAATAAGTAAATAAAATCTTTAAAAAAAAAAATACTTACTCTGGGGGGCCTCATTTCGCTCAGCTGAAAAACCAAAAGGTTGCATTTCTATGAGCTTACTGTCCCTTCCAATTCTTAAATTATAGACATGATCATGGTCTTCTAAGACTGGTTTCCTGGAAGCACCCAATTCAGTGTGGTGTCCAGTGAGAGCCCGCGAGGAAGCAGCAGTAAATAACGGGAATCTGGCCCATTCACTCACAGGTGTTGCCTACCTGCTCTCAAGACAGATGCTGCCCTCAAGATGGTCTGTCTGGGACAGAGAAATTCTTTTAAAAGAATCAAAACAGGGGGCCAGCGCTGTGGCATAACGAGTAAAGCCACAGCCTGCAGTGCCGGTATCCCATAGGGCCGCTGGTTTGAGACCTGGCTGCTCCACTTCCGATCTAGCTCTTTGCTGTGGCCTGGGAAAGCAGTAGAAGATGGCTCAAGTCCTTGGGCCCCTGCACCCACATGGGAGATCCGAAAGTTAGTTCCTGGCTCTTGGCTTTGGATAGGCGGAGCTCTGGCCACTGTGGCCAACTGGGGAGTGAACCAGCGGATGGAAGACCTCTCTCTCTCTGCCTTTCCTTCTCTCTATGTGTAACTCTGATTTCAGATAAATAAATAAATCTTTAAAAAAAAAAAAAAGAATCAAAGCATGTCCATAGGTTGTAAATGACCTAAACAGGAGCGGGCACACCTGCACCTTCTTGAAAAGGTGGGTTGGGCGCCGCGCACCTCGGTCGGTGGATAGCACAGGGGACTGTGTGCTTTCTGCCCCTCCTTCTGAGTACTAGGAGGCAAAGTTCCCATCTGGGTCCCTTAGCAGGTTGTCCTGCTTGGACTCCAGACTTAGAGTTGCCAGTGTCTTCCACAGGTGGGGACATCGCCCATGCACGCCAGCCAACGCTGCTCCTCAGGCCCCCCGCCCCTGCTGGGTTCTCTCCTTATTTCTCAAACTTGAGGCGCCCTGCTGAGATGGCAGCAGCCACGAATCCTGCCACTGCTCCCCTGCTTTCTCCCACCTGCTTCTGTTTTCACACTCAAGAATCCCAGTACAACCTCTTCAATAGACCAGTGTTTCTTAAACTGGAAAGATCCACTCGTCCTTTGATCCAAACTAAAGACATTCTTAAGGACTCCTCACCATCACCAATCTGCTAAGGTTGAGATAAATTATCTCTTTGTATCTCATTTCCTGAAAATGTGCAAATATAAAATCAGGTTTTAAAACTCCTGGGCCGGCGCTGTGGCTCACTAGGTTAACGCCCTAGCCTGAAGCGCTGGCATCCCATATGGGCACTGGTTCAAGACCCAGCTGCTCTACTTCCTATCCAGATCTCTGCGATGGCCTGGGAAAACAGCAGAAGATGGCCCAAGTCCTTGGGCCCCTGCTCCTGCATGGGAGACCTGGAAGAGGTTCCTGGCTCCTGGCTTCGGATTGGCGAAGCTCTGGCTGTTGTGGCCAATCGGGGAATGAACCAGCAGATGGAAGACC